CATTTGTGAGTACCTGTAAGCGCATGGTATGATCTACTAAAAAATTTCATACAAAAGAGATTAAAAAATACTTTTATGGATTCTATTTCACTGCTTTCAGAAAAGGTGAACTCTAGAAATTCAAGGACGTCCCAAAGATTGCTATGTTACTGCAGTTCTGCAAACTAGAGACTTCCATTTTGAGGTCAAGGTAGGCCTACAACAATGGTTGCCACTTTTACAAATGCTCTCAGAGACTCGCAGAACAATGTGACTTCTTCCAATGAGCTGACAGTCATGTCGATTCCACTGTTGAAAGTGATCTCAAATTGATAGCATCATTAGAGGACAGTTTAGGACAAGACATCCACCGACTTCATGTTAAAAAGAATATCATCATTATTTTATTTGTAACTTGATTAGTTTTTTTTCTTTTTCGTAGCAATTTTGGTACTCAATGTTAAGTGAGCGGTGTATCTGAACTTTTGTTATATTTTGAAATGAATTTCTACTTCTAAATTATTAAATATATTGGTGTCACAGTTTTGTTACAAAAAAATTACTGAATAAGGGCAGAATGGTCAGTTTTGTAGAAACAGTTGTTTTCACACAAGCAAAAAACAGACAGCTAGCTTCCCCATAACATCTTCGCAGCAGCAGCTTATTGGGGCAGCACAACTATAGTTGAAAAGCTGAGAAGCTGTAGCTGTGCCAAACAAAGCCTTAAAGAGGCTGAAGTGTGCTACTGGGGAAGGGGACGTAAACGTGGGTTACCATCCTCGATGATTGTGAATAGGCGCCAACGGAAGAAGGAGAAGATTGGGCGGTCTCTGTAAGCTACATTCCCACCATTGCCTTCTCTGTTGGTTCCAATCGTTGTTGCATCGCAAGGGTTCGACGCACGGGAACAAGAGAAGGGAGAGTCAACGATTAGGTGTGGGAAAAATTGAGAGAGAAAGAGAGGGAACATGGAGGAGCGAAAAGACATACACCCTTACTTGCTCTTATAGATTGATGCACTCGACAAAAGAAGAAGGTGGCAAGGAGAGCGGAAATAAGAAAAGGCAATATTCACGTTTTGGGAAGTCAGTGGGGCAGCGAACATTGTGTTTATAGTTGGAAAGAGGCTTTTATCCTCTAATACGTCTAATCCTTCTTACTTCTCTCTTTCTTACATTTCTTGTGCTGATGAGCTGGTTTCTTTTTCTGATTAGAAGAGAAAGATGGTTTCAAGTCTTGGAGCCTAGCGTTGGCGAGTTACATGCTTGGCAAGCGCCTGTTTTGTGAGAATCTCTTGCAAGCTATCAGTAAGATCTAAGAACTTAAGGATTGTTATCTCTTACAGTTGGTTTCTTTCTTTTTAAATTTTATTGTATCAAAGATATTGAAATGGACTTGATGGATGGTCTGAGGTTTATATGGGGTTGACCTTTTACTTTCAAAAGGTGGCCTCATGATTTTAAGATAATAAAGGAAGATTTTAAAGATGTTTATATTTAGTTTAAATTTCTCAATCTCTCACTCTGGTGTTGGTTATAGTATGATATTTTGAAAATTGGTAGTAATATAAGAATGTCATTGGTCTTAGAACCTCTCATGGCTAGCGGTGCACATCTTAATTTTGCAAGAGTCAATATTCAAATTAATTCGGATGCCATTCCTCCTAATTCAATTAATTTGGTTGTTAAAAACAAGTTATTGCACCACATGTTATTTATGAATGGAAGCATGTTCCTTGTACGGTATGTTCTACATTTGCACATGAGTCGTCTAACTATCCTATGTCATTTAATTATAAGCTTTCTATTGTTGCTCCTATGTTTTGTGGCAAGAGTATAAGCATAAACAAATAAAAAATTCCTCAAAGGCCTCCTAAAGCTCCTTATGGATAATATGTCTTCTTATCATTCTCCTGCTTCTCTTGCCCTTGACAATAATATTTTTGTTGATACTTCTTGTTGATTCCTCTAGAGGGAAAAAATATATATCTCATGTTGATTGCCTTATTTTGCATAATTTTACTGTTATTGAAAGCAGGAGTCATGAGCTACACAAGCTGACACTCACTTAAGTCGTAGTTATTCACGTATGTCACAAATGTGAGTTGTGATGATGTCCATAGGCCATAGAGGCTAGAGTCAGGAGCTGTACAATTAGTGGACCATGTGAGTTGTAGTTGGTCACGTGGGTTGTAGTTACGAGCTGTGATGACCTATGTAGGTCATAGAGGTTGAAATCAGAAGCTGCATGAGTTGTGGACCATATGGGTTGTAGTCGGTCACATAGACTGTAGTGGTAAGTTGTGATGATGTTCGTAGGTCATACGGACTAAAGTCAATAGCTGTATGAGTTGTGGACCACATTACCATAGTGCTTACATAGTTTGTAGTGGCGAGCAATGATAATGTTTGTAGGTCATTGGTATTGAAGCTGGAAGATATATGAGTTGTGGACCTTGTAGGACGTAATGATGAACTATAATAACATCTGTAGGCCGTAGGGACTAGATTCAGGAGCTGCTCTAGCTGTGGACCATGCAAGTTGTAGTTAGTCACGTAGGCTGTAGTGATAAGCCTTTATGATATTTGTATGCTGCAGAGGCCGGAGATAAGAGCTCACGAGCTGCAGACCACATAGGTTGCAGTTGGTCATGTATTCCATAGTGGAGAGTTATGATGACATTTGTAGGCCGCAAGGGTCAGTCAAGAGTTGCCCAAGTTGTGAACCACGTTTGTCATAGTTGGTCATGTCTTGTGATGAGATAAAAGGAGTGAGCTCTAGAAGTTCATAAGAAGTCATCATTTTCGGAGTGTATTGTTCTATCATCCTTAGAAAGTGTCGTTGCATTGCATGTGAAGTGCATTGTTACATCATCATCGGGGTGTGTTGTTGTATTGTATTTTGGATGCAGTGTTACACCGTCTTCAGGAGGTGCTATTACACAATATTTAGGTTGCCTTGTTCTACAAGATACCTCATTACTCTCCAATCTACATTGGAATTTCACATCACATGTCATGATTCTACAAGGGGTTTTATAGCAACGAGTTAGAAGCGATCGACAATGATACGCGATAGCTAGCTGACGGGTTTCCGTCTAGTCAAGCCAGTCAGTTTGACTTTAACTTTGTTGAAATCAGTGTTCTGAATGATTTTTAATTAAAATGTGAATATTTAGTACTCTGAAAGTAGCATTGAGATTTGTGTTATGTATCAAGATTCATGCAAAATGATAAATTTATTGATGGTGTATGTGTATCACATGATATTATATTTTTTACATTTAAAAAATCTCGATCTCTAATAAACTTTTGTATTTTTTTTTGCAAAAAAAAAATCTAATGATAATTTCAAATGTATTTATGATATAAATTTTATAAATAATTTCTTACAAAATGTTTGTTCTTATTGTTGAATCATTTTAGAACGTCAAGTCCCATGTTGTTCGTGGGAGGGGATGCATATAAAAAAAGTGGTGAAAGAGGATGAGTGTATACTTAAGAAGTTCTCCCATTCGATCTCAAAGAAGAATGAGGAAAGAGGGAGATAAAAAAGTCCAATCCCTTAAGAGGGTGGGAGAGCCTCTATTTATATGGACTCCATATGGATTCTCCTTTCTCTTTTAGATTAAAAGAAAAAAAATATTAAATAATTTTAGTACAAAATGTATGTCCACAAAGTACCAATAAAGAGCGTTGAAGCCACAAATGTCATATAACCCATAAATTTATGTAGACATGTCATTTATGTAATGATAACTAACACTTTGGAATGATGGTTAACTGACATCATTAGATGAACTCGATGGGACAACCAGACAATTAGAATTTGATGGTTGACCCTTTGGTAGGTAAGTCATGCCAATCTAGCCCAAAAATTTGGGCTTGATAGTGGACACTTCGGCAGATGAAGTCAATAGACAAAGCTTGGCATCTGTGTTCTTGAGGAGAAAATGAACCTGTTAGGCTCAAATTGGCCCCTTAATATCAACATCAACCAATAAAAGATCGTTTATCAATATACACGCCTATATATTAATTTTTTTGGAAAAAAAATTTAGAAGGCATTTTGTAGTTCAAATTTGCGTATATTAAATTCATATTTCAAAACTCAAATTCACATATATATGCTTGATTCAAACCCACAACCTTATAGTTGAAAATTAAACTCTTAATCACTATATCATGGATAAGTGCACTTTTGACCTTAAAATATATAAGAGTTTATAAAATTTGTAAATTCGCTTTTAAAAGTGGGCTCTTTTTTCAAGTGGGCTCCTTTTTTGCTGTTGTTGTAAAAATCATAGTTTGTTGTTGTTGTACTTTCTAAAAGTGGGCTCTTTTTTTAAGTTTTCATAAGTAAAATTTCACTTATTCTTAAACATTATGATATTAAGATATACAATTAATCTTATTAGTTATTATAGGGTATACAAGCAATGTTCCACTCTCTTAATTAACCCACATTTATATTTTTCTATTGAATGAGGAAACATAACTTTTTTTTCCCATTAATTTTTTCACATAAATAAAAACTTCAAATATTTTAATGTGTTTTTTAAATGAGAATTTGCATGCATAGCACTCAATTCTTATGCTTTTACTTATCTAACACCCAAACTATGTTTTTTATATCTATGGATCCGTTTGGGGTGACAGTCAGGTAGAGTTTTCAAAATGCATCATAGTTTTGTCTGTTTAGGTAAACGACATTTTGATAGTTTTTTAAAAAAAACAGTTTTTAAGATCGCTGAAATCAACATTTTCACATCGGACCAGACTAAATGTTTCTGAATTTTCTTTTTTTAAAAAAATTGTAATAGTCACCGCTGCTGCCCAAACAAAACCTAAAACATCTTTTCAAATACACGAAAAAGGGTAGAGTATAATTCACCTTTTCATATATAATTTAAATATGTTAAGAGTGTAAAAAATAAAATTTGTGTGTGAGATAATGTAAAATTCCCTTTGTTGTGGAGCATTACAAAATCTACCATTACGTTACTATAAGAAAATGTTAAGGGTCCTGATCCGTTCTTCTTCAGGGGTTTCATTGCCTCTCGTAAGGGTAACTGTCAACGAAATGGAGTTCATCGAGGAGGACTCGAGGCCTCGATTCCTCTTTCAAGCTCGCTCCCCCCTCACCTCCGCTCCTCTACCTGAAACGCAAAAGATCTCCAAGCTTCACGCAGCATGCTGTTTCTCTGCCTCCGCCGTCCTCTTCACCACCGTCTTCTTACTTAATTCGAGCTCCTCCATCTTATTCACCATCTTGCTCTGGATCTCCCTCTCCCTTATCGTTGCGCCGTTCGCTCCACCTTCCAATACCGGCGGAGATCCTCGCGTTGGGCGTGGCGGCCCCCTTCCTTCTCTCCCCAAACAAACCGAACCCGAGGAGACCCGGCGGCGTCCAGCTTCCCGGTGGAACCCTAAACCCACTATTCCTTCATTATCTCCGGTTGGATCACTAAACCCTAAACCTGTAGAGAAAAGAGGAGAAGATCCAGCAGGTCATGAGGGCGAAACGGCGACTAAGGAATCGAATCGGCTAGAGGAATGGACTGTTGAGGATTTCGAGATTCTCAAGCGCCAGATCTCGAAGCATCCCGCTGGGGCGCCTGGGCGATGGGAGCGAGTCGCCGAGGCATTCAAGGGGAGGCATGGGGTGGAGAGCGTGATCCGAGCGGCTAAATCTTTGGCAGAGAGGCGGTCCCCTGGGGACGACTCCTTCGCCCAGTTTTTGAAGCAGAGAAAGCCTCTGGACAAGCGTGTGGATGCTTTAAATGCTGACTCTTCCGGGAGTGGGATTGGTGGCGATTCTGTTGTTGTTGGGAATGAGGGATGGAGCTCTGCAGAAGATATTGCATTGCTTAATGCGTTGAAGGCGTTTCCTAAGGATGTAGCAATGAGGTGGGAGAAGGTCGCTGCGGCGGTGCCAGGGAAGTCGAAGGGTGAGTGCATGAGGAGGATGGCCGAGTTGAAGAGGGAATTTCGAAGTTCAAAGACTTCGGATAGCTAATCTGTTCTACATTCCCAATGCGGGTGAGTGCTATTTCTCATGCCTCGGCCGTCCCTTTGTCTGTCAATTTTCTTAGAATCTTATTCTTTGCACTTTTTCATGTTGTCATTCACTTTCTTGATATTTGTTTGTGTTGAACAGACTATGTTTTGATTTTAACAGACTTGCAATTTGTGTTACTGATCAACCATTTTGACAAGAAAAATACTATTCCCTGATATTTTCAGTTTAGTGTGTTATCTAGAATATGTTGGCATTTTCAGAATTATGATGATTACAATATTTAGATGTTCGGACATCTCTAGACGTTGACTGACATATGAGATGCCATTGAATTCAGAGAAACTGATCATATATATATTTGTTATTTAGATGTCGAGAAACCTAACAGCTGGTAAGGATGATAGTTTGGCTCAAAGTTTGAATTGATTCCTGGCTTAAATCAAGCCAAAAGAGCCAAGCAACAAGCCAAATCACTTAGCTCAAAAGGAGCTTGAAATTTAAATGATATGCATACTATTTAATTTAATTTAATGATGCATACATATATACATTTATATGTATATAAACACACACTCACACAGATGTTAGTCAATTAGGTGCATACTATGAGAAGTTGTGTATTAATTTTCTAATTTCAACGGGCTTCATGTTAGTTGGTCTATATTGTGGTCAAAATTTTTTTTCTTATAAATAATTTTATTCTCTTTGCTTTGATTTAATAGTTATAGGCATATATAATGTAGTTCTGATTAGTTTTATAGTTAGTTGCAGGGTAATCAAAGAGTTTCTAGTTATAACAATATTACATCATGACTCGACATTGTGTGTGTGTGTGTGTATATATATATATATATATATATATATATATATATATAAACTCAAATTGTTGAATCCCAATTTGTCCTCTAGAACATGCCTAGAGAGATAGAGCGTGAAGAAGAAGGAAAAGAAAACAATAAGAGTGTAAGATGAATAGTTTCAGGGGGAAATAACCATGTTTTCATTCATAAAATAGTCCCCATTTATAATCATAGGAGACTTATTTGTATTTTCTTACCCCTACTTTAATGAGGCTTTATAAATCATTATTTACTCTTATTTAATTTGTGACATTACAAATCAAATTTTCTCTTTTAGATGTCTTTTCACTATTATAACTAATACTAGTGGCTCACCATATTTTTAAAGATTCTAACACCCTTTCATACTCATAACTGACATAAAAACCTTTTCGCACCAACTGATTTTGACAACTACACAAGTCTATGTTTTTCGATTGGTGTGCATTTGGATCAGTCGACTTATTTCTCATAAGTATCAATTGGCTTTGATTTTGGGATCCTGAGTGACTTTTGAGTGATGACCAATTGACTCTAAGTCATTTGATATCATTGTCATCAGTCCATGCGATATTCGATAAATAGACAAAATTTAATTTGATCGGCTTTTTCATCGATCGATCAATTTATCTTCAGCCGACCGGCTCATCAAGCCCTTTAATTCTGACAAAACAGTGGATTTCACCTCTTCCTTTCTAGGCCATTTGATTGTCTTAAGGTGCTAATAATTTTTCTGGATACATATTAGTTCCCCGATTTTTTTGCTCCTTGAAGCCTGTGCTGCGATAAGTGTAAGAGAATCTTCATGATGGAAAATTTCATTTGTAATCTCAACCGTTTAATAGATTAATAATTTAATCTCCGAAGTTCTGTGCTCGTATTTCCTATTAATAGGATCAATGTGGTTTTTTTTCTCCTCTTTCTCCTCTTTCCATGAACTTCAATTAACACATGTATGGTGCTAAAGCTCAAAGTTTATTCGATAAAGATGTTCTCAGTTTGGTTCTGGGAGAGATAAGCACTCTGCCTTGTCCTGCAAGTGGAAGGTTTAGGATGAAATTGGTTGTAGAAAGAAAAAGGGATGACCTTGAGCTTAATCTATCTGAACAAGTGGCTTCGTTGAGGGATCTAGGTGAACAACGATAGGAGGAGATTCCGCAGGATGATTGGCAAGCTGTTATGATGATCGAGGAGCAACCCCCACTGGCTAGCACTTCAGATCCCAGCGCTGAGGGAGCTTCGGGATCGTTGATAGTTCCAACAACGGTGGTGGTAGAGTTGCATCCATATTTGCAAGTGGAAGACATTACTCTGGTTACAACGGATGAGGGGGATGCTCCAGCTACTTCTGCTTTGCCAGGTATTGAAGTGACTCCGATTGAGGATTTTACGTAAAAAATCCTAAGCCAATTGGCAATATTCTCCGACCGATCGGTGATGAAAGTAGACTGAAGATAGACCAGTTAGGTGCTTTCTTAGAGGCAAGCGGAGAACGAACAGTGTCTTCAACTCCTCTCGGACGTAAGATGGACGAGGTGGTCGGCTACTTTGCGTGGACAGTTAGCGATTATGACAGTGAAATTTTACGAGAGGTAGCGGCCCATGTTGAGCGACTGGAGGGGGAGGTTGCTCAGCTGAATGAGGAGACAGTCGCTCGAGAGTCGGCCACCACCATGAACCGAATCCAGATTGAGATCGATCGGGTTGACCGATTTAGGTTAGGAGGGAAACTTGTATTTAAGAGGTTGTTTCGGCGAGGGTATATCTCGGCTGACGCGACTGAAGACTCTTTTAAAAAATATTGTTTTGACTAATCTGTTGTAACTTTATACTTTTGAAAATTAACTTTTATTGTGTCAAATCATACTTGATTGTGTGGTGTGACTTTTGATGCGCTTTTGGATGCGCCGAAATACAATGACGCTTATACTTCTGTCTTTAAATCCTATGTATAGGTTTGAGTATGGATGTCTTACTATGCTCTTTTACCCTCAAGGTTTTCTTTGATCCTCCTTCCTTCCGCAATGGCTCCGAAATTTTCCCCCAAGCTCTTTGGAATGATTCCCACGAGCACATTGTCTTCTTCAAGTTCCTAGGACGTTGCTAGGCTCGAAGCGGATTATGTTTTCGATTCCACCGTGAGACTCCATGCAGCGAGGAGCTAGGACTGGATGACAAATCTCTTTGGAAATGACTTGGTATTCTATCGGGACCAGCTCTGATGCGGGCTTCACTTACCCCTTTGCATGGAGTTGCGGGTCATGCTAATCGCTACGACGTCATTCCTTCCC